TGCTACCGCTATGTCTGATAAAAGATCAAAGGGAAAGAAAATTTTTTTCTGCTTTTCTTCCTCTCTTGGCATGTTGTGCAAAAACAATTCCCAAGAAAATGTGCAATCATAAATAGAGTAGTAGGCTAAACATCAGCTACAGGACATTTTAGAGCTAATTTTTTTCGACGACAGAGTTCTTGGAAGGGATAATCTCGCATGGTAGAAGATCGAGCCATCTGGCGGAGCGGCACACAAAAGAATTGAAAGCTATTACTCAGATAATCGCCGGGGGCAGGCGGCCATGCGAATTTTAAGCAAGCGGGCACCGGAAAAATAGTTCGCTGATTTCATGCGGTCCGCTTGCAGAAATTTGAAAGAATGTTGGCCAATTTTTAGAGGAAGGCTCGGAAAAGTATCGTGGCTTTTCTATAGATTAGTTGCGGCCTAGTGGCCGCATTCTCGCGGACTTTCCGCGAGAATTTGCAAAAATATTGAGGGCCGCACGGTCTTTTGTGAAGGACCGCACAGCCCGTAGGTACCTTCCGCTGGAAGAAAGTACCTCAAACTTGAGTAATTAAACCATCGATGACACCTCTGCCACATAGAGTCTCATCTTTACTCGGCGTATGCCCGAAACTGCGTTAGAAGTATCCTAGCGATTGCTGAAAGTTTAGCCAGCGCTCGCTGGAAGAAAATATTTGCCGAGCGCTTGCAGAAAATACTGTATTGTTGCCCTCTGGCAGAATATGCGACCATAAAGGAAGTGCCGCCCGCTGAAGGTTTGGCCACGCCCCAAAATTCTGCTGACCGCCTGCAGAAAAGCGCGAGTTTGCGGACCGCCTGCTCAGATAATCGCCGGGGGCAGGCGGTCCGCAAACTCGCCCTTTTCTGCAAGCGGTCAGCAGAATTTTGGGGCATGGCCAAACCTTCAGCGAGCGGTACTTCCTTTACCGTCTAATATTCTGCCAGCGGGCAGCGACACAGGATTTTCTGCAGGCGCTCGGCAAATAAGCTCTTTCGGCGAGCGCTGTTCAAATTTTTAGCTGGCGCTCGGACGGTTTATAAGCGGTTTCGGCCGTACGCCGAGCAAAGGTGAGACTCTACATAGCAGAGGTGTCATCGATGGTTTAATTACTCAAGTTTGAGGTACTTTCTCTCAGCGGAAAGTACCTGGGGCTGCGCGGTCCTCCACAAAGGACCGTGCGACCCTCGAAAATTTTGCATATTCCCGCGGACTTTCCGCGAGAATGCGGCCGCTGCGCCGCAGCTAATCTATAAAGAAAACGCGTTTGTCCTCCGAGCGTTCGTCCAAAATTTCGCTAAAATTCTTCCAAATATCTGCAAGCGGACCGCAGAAAATCAGCGAACTATTTTTCCGGTGCCCGCCCGCGCATAAATAGCATGGCCGCCTGCCCCCGGCGATTATCTGAGTGCCCCCGGCGATTATCTGAGTACCTACGGGCTGTGCGGTCCTTCACAAAAAACCGTGCGGCCCTCAATAATTTTGCAATTTCTCGCGGAAAGTCCGCGAGAATGCGGCCACTAGGCCGCAACTAATCTATAGAAAAGCCACGATACTTCTCCGAGCCTTCGTCTAAAAATTGGCCAACATTCTTTCAAATTTCTGCAAGCGGACCGCATGAAATCAGCGAACTATTTTTCCGGTGCCCGCTTGCTTAAAATTCGCATGGCCGCCTGCCCCCGGCGATTATCTGAGGGTAAGACTCTGTGTGGCAGAAGTGTCACCGTTGGTTTAATTACTCAAGTTTGAGGTACTTTCTCTCTGCGGAAAGTACCTGGGGGCTGCGCGGTCCTCCACAAAGGATCGTGCGGCCCCCGAAAATTTTGCATATCCTCACGGAAAGTCGCGAGAATGCGGCCACTGCGCCGCAGCTAATCTATAAGGAAACCGCGATTGTTTTCCAAGCATTCGTCTAAAACTTCGCTAAAATTCTTCCAAATATCTGCAAGCGGACCGTAAGAAATCAGCGAACTATTTTTCCGGTGCCCGCCCGCCCATAAATCGCATGGCCGCTTGCCCCCGGCGATTATCTGAGTAGCAACTTTTTACCCGTATGATAAACCGAAACCGCCGGTTCTTCCACAAAGTCTAAAAATATATCTAGATCCGTTTCTATGATATCTGCGACATTCGACAAAAATTGTTCATTTTGACTTGCTGACTGATTATGACTTTTGATCTTGCTGCGCTAGCTTGAGTTCTGCAAATACAATGCAAGCAAGATAGAAAATCTTGACCAATGGCTAGAACCACTCAGACAATCGGTGCCGTAGTCGCGCCGGACAGTCGAAATCTGGCAGAGCCGCGGCGGACCCAATTGACCAATGAGAGCGGGCGAGGGGGCAGTCCCTTCTTGTAGGTCACGGTGACGTCACCGGCAGGCGAGTGGGACCCTTCTCCGGATCTGCTCCAAAGGTACGCCATATCTGCTCCGGAGGTACGCCAGATTTGGCAGAGCCGCGGCGGAGAGATTTGCCCGCCGCGAGTACGCCAGATTTGGAGGAAATGGCAGGGCTCCGGAGCACAAATGGGAGGGCTTTGGAGCACGAGTGGCAATCCCCAGCTGGGGAAACCCCGCGGCTCGGCCATTTCTGCTCCGGAGGTATGCCGTCGACTGTCTGAGCAAGTGCAACAAACTAGGAAGTTATCAGCAACTTGGGTACGAGCAATATATTGGCTGAAAAAAAGTGATTCAGTAATGATGTGGTGCTCAATATCTCGGCATATAAATGTTCTCTGAACTGGAGCGCATCTTACAATGTATTAAAGAGAAGTAACTTGTTCGCGGTATATTACATTATATCAGTTTTCTGAGTGTAAATGTACCAATACAATTATGTGCAATGTAACATCTGTATTTATGCTTTCAGCAATTGATATCTGTAACGTGACGAATGCTTCATACAAGAAATACAAACATACTGAAAACAAGATTTCCTGAACATACAGCAAATTTTACAAAACAACAACTAAGGAGACTTCGAAATCATCAAGAACATCGTTTTACGACGAACTTGACAACTTCTATCAACCGTGTTTTGAAATCTGCTTGCGGTTTTAAACGCTAAATGAAAAACTAGCTTATAATATTACAGGCTTCCTGACAAAAGTGAAATCTCTTTGGTTTTTGAAAGCAATATGTAGGATATCGAAAACAGCTGCCACTCAATAGAAAAGGAACGAAAAGAAATAAAGCAAAGTTTAGATTTGAAGTTTCATTCTTGTTTGGACCTGGGCACTGTTGTTATTCTTCAAGTTGTTGTGCTAGACAATTGTTATGGTGTGAACTTTATTCGGCCTAAAGTCTCGGCGATTTAGTTATCCTCAGATTCTGATAACACCCAAAGCATCATCCGATAATGGCAAAGACGATACATTTCTGTCTGAAGCATTTTTGCGGATTTCGGAGCAAGGTGAAGACTAACTGAGCAAAAAGCATTTGGTGGTCTGTGCGAGTGATGCTCTGGGGAGTTTTTAGCCATCTGAGAACAACGAAAGCGTCGAAACGTCAGGAATATGAATAAAGTTGTCATCATAAGAACTTGTTTGTGAATGCAAATTTTCTGGAGAGCCAATACAATATTTGCAAGTTCGTAAAAGCAGTCAGATTAAGATAAAATGATGGGTAAGGACAGTTCTCGAGGTGCGCAAAGATAAGACTGATTTACAACATAAAATAGAAGAGGAAAAGTACATCAAATCGTACCAAGATCAATCTTCACTCTTCATTTTAAGATACCTGTCGGCAATACAAATGGTATTAGATTGTAAAGAAAGTTCTTAGGCACTTTTGAAAATTTCATTTTCTGATGCATTTTCTTGGCGCTCATCGGACTTTGACAGAGAGATTTTTATACTGTCTAGTAGAGGAACGCATAAAACTTTTCAGAATCGTTTCTGATGTTTATGAACATCAGATCATGTTTGATCTGCACATTAAAAAAGAAAATCTTTTCGACCATAAAAATTTCACAGTTTTTCTTCCTGCTGCAATATTTCTGTGCAGTTCAAAGAATTTCATCATAGGTGATTGAAATGATTTCTTTTAACCTTCTACCCCACTGCTGCATTCGCGTTCTGCGATTTGCGCTTAGAAATTACAAGCCGACAAATTTGCCTCTGACCGCAGCTCTTTTCGCATTTGACGTCGCTTTTGCGGAAACCGCCTGGCCTGGGTGATGGGTCCAAAAGATGTGCAAGGCATTACTCCAACAATGTTTGCAGTAATCAAAGACCCTTCCTATGCAGAACTAGAAGGCTTCTAAGTCACTTAATCGAAAAATGGTGTACTTTCGGAGAAAAAGATGGTCGATTTTCCAAACTATCAGGAAAAATTTTTTGTAGGTGGTCCTTTAAAAACGTGAGTGGTCCCCATAACAGCCCAAGCAACCTCTATATGATTACAGCATTTAGGCTCTCCAGCTCTCACCATACCTGAGATAATGCTGCACAGACAGGCCATTTTTCGCGTTTTTTCCCTTTTGCGCATGCTAATGGACCGCAACGAAGCGCTAAAAAGCCAACAATATAAATATCCGTAGATGAAATTGTCTTTGCAAAGAAATTTGGGACTCTGAAAAAGGATCAATGTGCTTGAGGCCTGAGGCATATCCCATCCGCGATTCCGTCAAATCGCTACATCCGCGCGACTTGGCGTTTTGCCAGATGCCTACAGATTGATCGTGCGCTTTTGTCGCATAGAAATGCATAGGCGCGTAGCTTTTGCATGTTCTCGCAAAAGTAACAAATCTGGCCTAAGCAAAGTGCGTTTACTAATGATTATGAAGAGTTGTTGAGTGCCATATCGCGCAGCGACTGGAATCGCGTGAGATATGCCTTAGGCCTGAAGTTACAGCGATTTGAAAAAAAAATTCTCGCAAATGCCCCGGAATTTTCTTCACGACCTAGTAATATGGCTATCATTGCTTTTGACTGTACGTAGGAAGAAAGAAAGAGAAGAGCCTTTGGAAAATCGAAGTATACGTATTTGTGAACTTCATTCAGCGAAGTTGTTTCCTTCTTCTACGACTCGCAATTTGAAAACGCACACGTAATAGGTTGAGTTGTAAGACTGATTGAGATCAAACGTGGGAAATGTGGTTACTACAGGCGTAGTAGTTTGGGATTGAACCGGAGGAATCTTGATCGGAGGAGGTGGAGGTTTCACTGCTGGTTTCTGAGGCTTCTTCTTCTTCTTCTTCTTCTTCTTCTTCTGCTGCTGCTTCTTCTTCTGCTTCTTCTTCTTCGTCTTCTGCTTCTTCTTCTTCTTTAAGGATTTTTTGCCCTTTGATTTCTTTGCTTTTTTGTTTTTAGGTTTTTTGGCTTTTGCTTTCTTAGGGGGAGGTGGTGGTGGTGGCTTGGGAGGTAGTGGTGCTGTTGTTGTCGTCGTCGTAGTTGTTGTAGTAGTGGTAGTGGTCGGCTCTTCATGTTTGTGCTCGTTGTCGCTGTAGGCGCAGCCAAGAGCATCTGTCTTTTCTGCCACAATCACCAACTCTTTTGGGAGTCTAGCTCTGCAAAATGTGAAGAACACAAGCTGCTATGGAGAGCTCCCACAAAGTATGAACTAACTTCGGAATAATTGTGACGCGAAATTTCGTTTGTTCTTTTGCGCTTATTTTGAGTATCAGTTCCTGAGCTTCAAGTTGCAGGCGGGAAAGACTGAAGCGCTCAGACTTGTTGGATGATTGAAGTAACAGAAGTATGTCGCGAATCCTAGCGGCTTTCTCCTCGCAACTGCAGTCATATTGCTAAAGTGAAAGACTTCCCATAATGGTTCAATTTTTTTTATGATTTTCTTACTCACTCTTCTTGAGATCAACTTTAGCACCTCGTTTCTCCCCTCCTCGTTGGTTTCGTGCCAGACTCCGTATGCCCTCCAACGTTTTTCACAATCCAAGAACGCATGAATACTAGTAACTATGATAGCCTGGATTGCATCACGTAAAATATGTAATTCAAGACAAAGTTTGGAGGACTTACGTATAACGGAATCAAACTCGAAATCATTTGCGGATGTAGTCACATGTAATCGTATTATATAGCAGCCATTGTGAACCTACCATCATGAAAACTAGAGGGCACTCGAGGTTTTCGAATGACTCCAGCGCATCGCATATGATTCTGTGCACTTCATGAAAAGCGTCGGCAGCTTGACACTCTCATGATAAAGGCTAACGTTGTTGTCCGTCCAGTAGAGTTCAGAATGACGAAATGTTCACTTGGACGAATACTATCGCTATCATATCTAATTCAGGCCGAGTGATTTAGAAACCTTCAATCGTTAAGCCTCCTAAGTTTTCTCGTACGATTATTCTAAGCTTAGGGGATACCCTTGCTACAGAATAAAGTATTTCAAACTTTCTCGTTTGACAAAGCTGAAAACGTTTCCTTTACTAACTGGATTCGATATTTCACATCTTGTGCAGTGAGTTTGTGGAAAAACTGAAAGACAGTGGCTTAGCAAATTTGCGACTGTAATATTTTTAACACTTGAGCTCGCTGGATGTTCTGAGTAAACATTGAACCTCCCGAAAGACGAAATTTGCTTATTTTGTTGATTTTCGGCCGTGCAGACTGAAAGAGTGGGCCAGTAATTCGTGGTTCTGAGGAGATTGGCCGTTAAAATGGGTGGGTGAAGCTGATCTTTTTTCAGGCAGTCTTTCAAGCCCAAAAGCGGGTTTTGATATGAATGCTGAGTATTTGAATTCTGCAAAGCAAAGTTTTGGCCTCAGCACGCTCACGAACTCAAAAATGCTTTGTAAGCCTGAGAAAGCAAATCTGCAGAGCCGCTGCATTTTTGGAAGGGAAAGATGAAATTTGCTGCTCAGACATATGTGCGATAATTGGATTTAAGGATCGCACTTCCATGCCATAAACTTTGCATGTTTTCATTTGATTTATAGTATACACATTCCATTTTATTAGTACAGGTCTTCTGCCTTTATAATAACAAGAGCTTTCCCAACAGTGATAAAACGGTCATGCCGCAATTTCTTTGACACAAATTGGTTTGGTTGGCATGTTGAAAAATGTGGTTTATGAATGAATCCCCAAGTTATGTGTTAACAAACTCTGAACTGTTAGCTAACCTCCTACATATTTGTCTCAAGTAAGCCTAAATCCCAAATGCAGAACGAACTACACATAAAAGTGTTACTTGTCTCTGCCTGAATTGATGTGAATAGCATATTTTGGATTTTGGACTGAGGCGCAACATGACTTTCTAAATGAGTAAGGTTAAGCTCGCTTACCAACAGCTGGAAACGTTGATACCACAGTTGTGACCTTGGAATTTGTCCAAAATTGCGGGATTTTCGGGATTCGCGATGTTTGCGGGATTCGCGACTTCACGGGATTTGTGGGATTCGCGGGATTGGCGGGATTTAAGGGATTTAGCTATAACTTCTTTTAAATCCACTTTATTTGCAATCTGCGTGTAGATTTGACTTCAGCTTGATGAGACGAATTGTTTGATATACAGTATGTCCGTAATTCGTGGTGAGGGGGTAGACTTACAATGATACCTTGTTGTTCTCTATGTTAAGGCTTTTGTGAACATTTATCACAGCGTAAATCACGAATAGCAGGTTCTGGTACGAAGTTTTCATTATCGAAAACTATCGCGAAAAATTGGGCAGTTTTTATTTACCCTTATCACTGATATAAGCATTTTATCATTTATCACTGATAATATCATATTTTTGGATCATTTTTTGCATATGGTAAGGAAAGTACTGTAGGAAAAGCTGTGTGAATTTCTATCGCTCTTTCTCTCATTATAAGTGATCTACAGGCTTTTCTAGTTCTATTGCTCGGTGCAATTGGTAGATCCCTCGCTGCAGCAATCGATCGATTTTCCATCGGCACATGCCATTGCTGTCAATTCTTACCTAGAATGGCATTTTTGCTTCAACTCGCTTCACGCCGAAGCCTGGGCTGAAATTCTGCACCTATATGGAAGATGAACGTGGAAATCGACCGCATGAATTTAAGCCATTCTTATCTGTCGTTGTCATTGATATCATCATTTTATCATTTATCACTGACGACACAAAATTGATTCATTTTTGATATACAATAAGAAATGTACTTTAGAAAACGCTGTGTGAGTTTTTATCGCTCTATCTCTTATAGTACAAAACCACTCACAGAACATGCAAAATTTCCGGGAATTCCGCGAAATTCATGTGAATCACGCAAATTACGCAAGGCCAAACTTCTTTCCGAATGAGTACATTCTAAATCCGAAAACAACGTTGTATTCAGCTCGTCAAGGCGAATCTTTTGACATACAGGTTGTCTCCAATATCTTGTTTTCAATAATCTTGAATTTGCATGCGGACGCCTCTTCGCATGGGTGTAACGCAACAAGCTCACACATAGGAGACTGCCATGGGCACCGTTCGATAGTACTCTTTCAGTGAATTATCGTGCGGTAAACACAGCCGAAGACTCTCTTTCAAAAGAGATAGAAGAGCTGATAAACTCGGGAAAAATGAAGCTGTTCCAATCTACTAGCCGTAACTTTCTTTAGAATGAACATTTTCGAAGTCAGAAAGCAGATTTGTGTTCATCTTGTCAAGTCGAATCTTACTGTATACAGCATGTCCTTGAAATCCCGTTTTCAATTTTTTTCAAAATTTTCTGCGCGCGTATATTCACAAGGTCGCAACGCAGCGCACATCAAACATAAAAGACTCTATTAACACGTTTCGGACCGGTGCTGCACATGGTGCAGCACGCTGCTTTGAGGGATCTTTCTGGCGTTTGCAGGAGGTTTCCTTTTAGTCTAAAGTTGTTAAGTTAAAGGTCTAACCTCCTACTTTTCAAATAGCTCTGTAGAGTTGTGCCGCCGATATTTATTTAGGAGATATGAGCACAAATCGAACAACAGTTGCAACGAAGTGCGGCGACGCGAACGACGCGTGCGACGTCGCAACTTTCCTTTGCTTCGATATCAAAGAGAAAAACCGTAGTTCAAATACTGATGTGTGCCGTGTACAACATAGATACTTTTGAATACTATTAGAATCTGAGTTCTTGTTCCTATCTTTCAAGAAAGCACAAAAGTCCCTCTCAAGGGACAAAATTCAAACACTTCGAATTCACTCAGAACTTTGGATATGGAGCTTATCTGACATGCTGATTACAAATGTGGCCCACAGGCTGCGAAATAAGGTCCCTTTGTAGGCTAACGGCTGAAAGTACACTCTTTTTCGCCGCGCGCGATTTCGCGGTCCGAAACGTGTTAAGCACTGTTGGATTGTGCTGCTTCCGCAGATTATCGAGCGCTAAGAAGCAACCGGAGAATCTTCTTGAAAAAGGATAGAAGAGCTGGTGAAATCTGTAAAATCGTGTTGTCTCAAATTTTGCCCACAGTGACCCTAAAATGAGAAGCTCTACTGCTAAGCAGATGTGATTTTCGTAATCAGCAGGTCAGATAACCTCTATGAGCAAGTTTTCAAAGAAATTTGGGTGATTTGATTTTTTCTCGTTCTACGCCCTGAAGCTCGCCTTGATCAAAATGTCGATGACCTTGGATTGTAAAGAAACTTCACCCAAAGAGGTTTTCGAACACGCTGTTTACGAAAATAGTGGTCTTTGAAGAAGACAGGGTCTTTTTGTAGAGATATTGCGAGGTGACTGTAACTGAGTCACGAAAGTTCGTAAATTTGCCTGCACTTTTCGCGAATTTGTCAGAAAACTTGCTTGCTTGCTTTTCCAAGTCAAAATCACTGGGAACTGTGCTATCAAAAGGTGCGTGCTCAGGCTCCAGTCTATAAAGTCGCCGAGTTACGAGCCTACGAAAACACGTCCTCATGAATTTCGCTCAAAATGTAAAGATCGCGTATTTCGTCGAAATTCCACCCTCAGTGGTTGTATGACATACTGATCAAATCTGTTCACATTGGTTAATGGTTCAAGTGTGCTGGAATTGGAAATTAGGTAGATCTGAGCTCAAGCTACGAAGGTGCTTGGATATTCAAATGAGCAGCTGAAGAACGCGCGACCACCATATTCAACTCAATGGGATCCCTTAGGCGAAGTGAGCATATGCAATCAGAATGTCATACAACCACTAAGGGTGGAATTTCGACGAAATACGCGATTTTTACATTTTGAGCGAAATTCATGAGGACGTGTTTTCGTAGGCGCGTAACTCGGCGAACTTCACAGACTGGGGCCTGAGTAATGCACCATTCGATAGCACAGTTCCTAGTAACTTTGACTGAGGAAAGCAAGCAGGCAAGGTTTCTGACAGATACGCGAGAAGTGCGGCCAAAGTTACGCACTTTCGGTGATGAAGTTACAGTCACCTCACCGTATCTCTCCAAAAAACCCTGTAATTAACAAAGACCACTATTTTCGTAAACAGCGTGTTCGAAAACCTCTTTGGGCGAAGTTTCTTTACAATCCAAGGTCATCGACATTTTGACCAAAACCCATCGGCGAGCTTCAGGGCGTAGAACGAAAAAATCACCCAAATTTCTTTGAAAACTTGCTCATAGAGGTTATCTGACCTGCTGATTACGAAAATCACATCTGCTTAGCAGTAGAGCTTCTCATTTTAGGGTCACTGTGGGTAAAATTTGAGACAACACGATTTTCCAGATTTCACCAGCTCTTCTATCCTTTTTCAAGAAGATTCTCCGGTTGCTTCTTAGCGCTCGATAATCTGCGGAAGCAGCACAATCCAACAGTGCTTAATAGAGTCTTTTATGTTTGATGTGCGCTGCGTTGCGACCTTGTGAATATACGCGCGCAGAAAATTTTGAAAAAATTGAAAACGGAACTTCAAGGACATGCTGTATACAGTAAGATTCGACTACAAGACGAACACAAATCTGCTTTCTGACTTCGAAAATGTTCATTCTAAAGAAAGTTACGGCTAGTAGAACTTGGAACAGCTTAATTTTCCCGAGTTTATCAGCTCTTCTATCTCTTTTGAAAGAGAGTCTTCGGCTGTGTTTAGCGCACGATAATTCAGTAAAAGAGTACTATCGAACGGTGCCCATGGCAGTCTCCTATGTGTGATGCTTATTGCGTTACACCCATGCGAAGAGGCGTCCGCATGCAAATTCAAGACTATTGAAAACAAGATATTGGAGACAACCTGTATGTCAAAAGATTCGCCTTGACGAGCTGAATACAACGTTGTTTTCGGATTTTGAATATACTCATTCGGAAAGAAGTTATGGCCCTGCGTAGTTTGCGTGATTCACATGAATTTCGCGGAATTCCCGGAAATTTTGCATGTTCTGTGAGTGGTTTTGTACTATAAGAGATAGAGCGATAAAAACTCACACAGCGTTTTCTAAAATACATTTCTTATTGTATATCAAAAATGATCCAATTTTGTGTCGTCAGTGATAAATGATAAAATGATGATATCAATGGCAACGACAGATAAGAATGGCTTAAATTCATGCGGTCGATTTCCACGTTCATCTTCCATATAGGTGCAGAATTTCAGCCCAGGCTTCGGCGTGAAGCGAGTTGAAGCAAAAATGCCTTTCTAGGTAAAAATTGGCAGCAATGGCATGTGCCGATGAAAAATCGATCGATTGCTGCAGCGAGGGATCTACCAATTGCACCGAGCAACAAAACTAGAAAAGCCTGTAGATCACTTATAATGAGAGAAAGAGTGATAGAAATTCACACAGCTTTTCCTACAGTACTTTTCTTGCCATATGCAAAAAATGATCCAAAAATATGATATTATCAGTGATAAATGATAAAATGCTTATATCAGTGATAAGGGTAAATAAAAACTGCCCAATTTTTCGCGATAGTTTTCGATAATTAAAACTTCATACCAGAACCTGCTATTCGTGGTTTACGCTGTGATAAATGTTCACAAAAGCCTTAACATAGAGAACAACAAGGTATCATTGTAAGTCTACCCGCTCACCATGAATTACGGACATACTGTATATCAAACAATTCGTCTCATCAAGCTGAAGTCAAATCTACACGCAGATTGCAAATAAAGTGGATTTAAAAGAAGTTATAGCTAAATCCCTTAAATCCCGCCAATCCCGCGAATCCCACAAATCCCGTGAAGTCGCGAATCCCGCAAATTTGGACAAATTCCACGGTCACAACTGTATGTTTTCTTTAGCGTCGATCATTGACGCATTGCAGGAAAATTGTTTTCATTTTGCAGGCTCAGCCAGCTTTTGCTGTCTTCGTTTTTGTATTCGCATATTATTTGCGAGATGCAGGAGAGGTCGAGAGGTCGAGACTACCAGATGCATTGGAAGCGTGGTTAAATCGTACATACTGTCGCGCAATCATATAGGTTAGTATATGGCCTCGGGCAGAGTCACGCGATTTAACGGTGTGATTCAATCGCTACAGGACAAGTGTTGCAAGTTCATTGCATGCCGATCTTCTTGTATTTCGGTTGTGACAGTTATTCACGATTAGTCGTGTTGGAAAACTATCACAACTGGAATAGAAGAAGATTGGCATGCAATAATATTGTTAGAGTTGCCTTATCGCGATCAATCGCGACGATCAAATCGCGTGAACTCTGCCCGAGACCTATCAGGATGCTAGCGTTCTGCGCGGCCAAAATTGGGCGATGATTTGTCCGTGAACAGATAGCCACACATCTATGCCAACAATCTGGGTGTGCAAAATGCTGAATTATCAGGAGTAGCTGATTGTTTACGCAAACTCTGTTCCTTAATCTCGGCCTGTAAAGACACTATATCAATGTCACATTTACTAGCCAACAGAAATAAATGTCTAACAAGGGAGAGTCACAAATTCAAAGTGGCCAATCACTACAAGTTGCATACCAATGCTGATACAAATTCTGGGTGGAGGACATTAGGTCGCCGAATTCGGAAGAGTCCCGCGCGGATTCCCTGCAGGAACGCATGTCCGCGCATGCACAGGGGTGCGTGTTTGTCGCAAATGACCGCGGGGACCGCCCTTTTTCGGCGACCTAATGTCCTCCACCCACAAATTCTGCTTTTCCTGTTTGCAGAGCGCCTTTGGGAGAGAAGTTATGAGCATTTTTTGAGGCGACAAAATGAACTAATGGCAGGAATAAAATCAATTGTTGTAGCCTTTCTAGACGTCAAATGGAGTAATAGGAAGCACTGATGTACTAGACACATGAAAGAAGTATCCTGACAAGCAACCGATTTTATCCCGGCCATTAGATCTATGTCGACTCCAAAAAATACTTATGACTTTTTTCCCAAAAGCGCTCTGCAGATAGGGAGAGCAGATTTCGAATTACCCCTCCAAGCTCTCATTAACGGTATGCAGCTTATGGTGATCGGCCATTTCGACTTTGTGGCCCTCCCTTATATTTGCTTTTCACCTTCAATTATGACAAACTATCAAAATGCTGATAATTTCCACTCTGTGTTAGGTGTATTGTGTAGTTGTGGGCGATTTCATTGAAAAAGTTACCTATGTAAGCCTTAAGGTAAGGAATTGCGTTTACAGGCACGTCTATTGTCACTCAGCAGCGTGAAACTTGAAATGAACTTATAAATTTTTGCGAAGAAGATCAATGCTTTACATAAGAGAATGAAAATGAAAAATTAACATAAAATGAACAGTAAATTCAATAAATAAACAATACAATAAATATAAAAAACAATTGTATATCCGATTACTTCTGTACCAAACAGGCCTGTTAGGCAATATTTATTTTCCTTTTGATACTGCCTGATTGGAAGAAGAATAAACATTGCCTGACAAACCTTTTCGGCACTGAAGTAATCAGATATACAAGGAAGGTTACGAATGCTCAGGTTTCATAAAAAAAAACAGGATGTTAAAATCACTAGAATAGACAGTTGTTACAAGGTAGACCAAACACAACCTGATGAATAGATACATATCACTTATTCGTTTTGAATTTCCTCTAAATACACGCATACATAAAAGATCAAGGGCATGGGTTTCAAATGAGGTAGGAATGGTATGGTTGATGGTTTAGACGTGGTAGTGGGTTTTTGCATCGGTTTTGGAACTACTTTTGGAACTACTGGCCTTTTCTTCTTTTTGCCCTTCTTCTTCTTCTTCTTTTTGACAACCTTTTTATTCTTTTTAAACGGCTTTTTCTTTTTCTTTCCTTTTTTCGATTTCTTTTTTTTCTTTTGCTGTGGTTTAATCGGAACCCTCGCTGCTCTGGTTGTTGTTGTCGTCGTTGTGGTTGTTGTCGTTGTTGTGGAAGTAGTGGTTACAACCAACGCGGTGTCAGCCAGAGCGCAACCAAGTCCCTTCTTTGCCTTTTCCGCCAAGTCCGTAACTTCGAATTGAGCTTTCCTTTAATGTGAGAGATTTTATGTTGCAACGATGTAAAAGACCAAACGCACTTTTTTATGAGTTTAACCTTTAGTGGATCATTTTGAACATCCTTTCTCAAAATCTTCAGTGCTTCGTTTTCTAAGTACAGTAGGCTGATTGTTTTTGGTTTAAACTCTCTTTCCAGCACATCGCGAATTATAGCAGCTTGCTGCTCCATGTAGCAGTTGTATGGCTGAAAACAAAGATAACTAAATACGTATGTCCTTCTCTACAGTCAGTAATATTGCATCATAAACAGAAGATTCCACAGACTAGCAGCTTCAAAAATCACCTGAAAATTTTTTCCAAACTACTAACTCACATAGTTCGGCCTCAAAAGCTCCTCTTGGAACTTTTTTCTTTCCTCGTCGTTGTCCTTATCTTCATAAGCATACGCACGCGTTCTGTATTCCTCGCAAATTGCGTTAGCGGTACCATTCAGTGCAAAGACCTGGAATTCATAGGAGAAACCCATTATACTCATAAGTGCTACGAACTTACGATTAGAGTTAAAGCGAGTAACCCGGAGCCCAGGATCATGCTTGACTGTAGACAAACGCACTTTTCTGTATATAAAGGCTGCGTAACAGCGGAAGCCCCACGTGCACCGCGGTCTCGAGCTGCAGCTTTAGTGCATTAGCCTGTTACTGTACTTCCTGTTGAATCGCCGTTGCTCTATGAATTCCTATTGTTGCTGCGTCTGGCTTCGTGTAACATTGTCTATACGATACCCTGATATTTGCATATTCTCATCCCACTGAGTGAATGCGTCAACGCTCTGTTTTCTAAATATTGAGTTAGGACATATAAGATTAGTAAGCTGCCGTAGATTAAGGACGTGAATTTGGCATAAGATGCTGTGAAAATTAGAATGATGCAATTTACATGTACTACATTACTCAACGTTACCTTTATAGAACTAAAAGTTGCCCTACTTAGCGCATTCCTGCCAATGTCTGCCAGTCATCTCATACTGCATGTTTATTCTTAAAGGAATCAACAAAGCTCATAGGCGAGTTCTCGACTAGTTATTTGACAGAAGCCCTATCATTTTAAAACTGGTGGAAGAATGACAAAGCAGTAATTGGCCGGAAGCGATCTAGTCTAAAGAGTAAGGAAAAGCTTGATACGCGTCAAATTTTTGCGAAAGTCTTTCTCCTAGATGATGTTTAGCGTTAGCTTTGAAATGGGTGTAAAAAGGCACGATTTTATTGCCAGATGGACATCAAATAGCACAAACGTAGTGTTTTATAACGCTTTATAAGCAATCCAGGATTCCAAAGAGATTCATTGTGTAGGAACATGAGGTTTAGTGCTACAACCTCAAATTAAATTAGAAAATCTGAATAATTAAAAACCAGCGGAATTGCAAATCACAGTAAATTTACAAAAGTCTCGGTTTGCCAATGAAAGCCGTTGATCTTAGTTAGCAGTAGCTTTGAACGGCTAATGAACCAATGCAGTTTTTGTAAACCGCGGTCAATTCCTACTTTTAATCTTTAACGCTGAGCACATTTTCAGTAAAAACAAATACCTTATTTTCAGTTGTACAAGCCGCCACTGTTTGCTCTAAACGCGAGCACTCTTCGTCACAGCTGTGCTTGTGATCCGCACAAAGGTCGCTTCCTCCTACTATATTCAGTTAACGCGCCCCAATGGCACGCGCAATTCTGGCGTGTTTGACTCTAGAGCAATCAGGGGCGACTTACCCTCTGTCCAATCTGTTTTTTCAACCAAATGGAGGCCAAATCATTCTACAGAAAGCGACGCTCTACTTGCTGGAGGCTTTGCGAGCGCACAGCGCTGGCATATTGTTAGCTAGGGATTGATGAGAATGAGGAGACGTGGACATGGGCTCCTAAAACGATTTGATATACTGTAGCTGCGAAATGGCACGAACCTTTGCGAAGCGAACACCCACTAATTGAGTCCCCACCTAAGAATCCATCCACAGTGGCGGAGCTGTGCCAGCCTCGGGCTAGCGCCGAATTAGCGTCGAGCTAGCGCCTTGCCGGCACAACGTACCGGAGCTTTCGACAGAGGCTTCGATCAATACCACGCATTTACCTCTCTAAGATCTAGTCAGCTAGCGCCGCCTTCAACGAAATACACATGTAACGATCGAAACAGCACTGGGACAGTACGACGATGGTCGACCATGGTGCGCTGGCACAGCTCCGGCCTGGCGAAGCCTAAACTGGGTCGAAACTTATTGTATCACTAGGAGAGATGGGTGATCGTGCGATTCAAGTCCCGCGCAGCAACCTAGCCTGATTATGCAGTTCTTTCGCGGGTGTTTCTAATCGTTTCCCATGCTTACTAAGCGATCAGAGCTTTGCTTCTCTCAAGCTCAGATGTGGTAAATGTTCAGAGAGGACGCTCAGGAAAGAAGTGCAGAGCCCAAGCGAAGCGGTCGCGCGGGCCGAGCTGCAGGAGCACCCATCACTTTTAATGATGCAGAGGGTACACTCGAAAATAGGATGATAATTCTGCAAGATAGTTGAAAAAAATGCAAAAATGAACATAAGCAGAATTTTGGGCACAAGCTCGAATATGTGAAAATTAAGTGGTAGCAAATCGCGCTACAAAGTCACAAATGACGGCAGGTAAATTTATGCAAAATTTTTGTCCTAATGGGGGTATTGAATTACTTACTTATTGTGGGCTATATCCCTTGATCGATTGTAATGATCAAGTTAATCGCTAAATGATTGCCATAGTTGATATGGTGGAGGTTGTCTATGTTTCACTTCCTCAGTTCCCCACCTTCGCATGAATCTATTGAGATGTGAAGAAATTCCGGGCAGTTTTGTTCCTTTTTTTCAAATTCCGGCAAACTTTATAATTAACCTCATTTTCTTCGCACTCGGTTGAATCCTAATGCAAATATTTTATATATTGGTGTAGAAGAAAGCCTAAGCTTTTAATTGATGTCAAACCTATTTGACCTACACACCAAAAAAGGCTGTGCAACGTTGAAAACTTTGCAATTTTTCCTTTGCTGTCATTTTTCCGTAGTGAACAAAGAAAACTATGCAAAGGTGGGTCAGTGTGAATGAGGAGGCTGTCCAGCTCAAAAACGCAACTGCGCTCGGATTTTGCTGTACGCGCAACAAAGTTACAAGCTCTTACTTGCCTTTGACCGTACCTGTTTTTGCAGTCGGCGTCGATTTTGTAAGGATCGTCACGCCTCGGTGATGGGCTCAAAGATATGCAAACCATCATCCTAAAAATAATTGTAGTAATCACAGAATTGATTCATTCCGTGGCAGAAAGGAAGACCTTACTCGTTCACTAAAAATGGGGCTTTTCTAGTGCAAACATAGCCGAATTTTCAATTTTTTGGAGAAAATTTTTTACAGACTGTGCTCCAAAATAATGAGATAGTCTGAGGAATTAACAGATCAAGCATACCTTTAGACAGCATCGCTTTGGCAGCAAAGTTCGCAGCTCTCAGAAAAAATCGGTATGCTTGAAGTTACATTAGTTTGTAAAAAAATTTGCAATTGCCCGGAAACTCTCTTAAATCTAATACTGATTACCTATCGTCAACTGGCTATTCTTGATTAAAACATGGACATTAGGAAGTGTTTTTTGTTATCACTGGTCTGTTAACGTAAGACTGATAGGTCTTCCACATGTTCCACATTTTCAAATCTCTTGCAGAGTTTACTTCTTCGTGTTTCGAGATAAAGTAGTGTCATCTTCGGAGTTAAAAACGTTAATTGCTATCAAAACGAGGCACAAGAAAGAGTAGGGAAACTGGGCTAAGGAAAGGACGTTCTACATGAAAAGTTGCCTATTTTCATATGCAAGATGTGGTAAATGGCATCAAGACTTAGTGATACTGATAAAGCCGAAGCCCTTGGTACTTACTTTGCTAGTGTTTGTTCTCCTGTTAGTAATCATGTTGCATACACTGCGTCGATGGATGTTAACGTGACGCCAACTCATAGCTGTGTTGACGTTACTTTCATCCATCTAGTGTGTACAACTTCCTTAGAAAACTCAAGCCCTCCCTCACGGACACTTTTGATGGTATACCGCATGTACTTGAAATGCGCGTCATCGCTTGCGGCTCCACTCGCACACATTTTCAATATATCTATGATGTTGGGAGAAGTTTCGCCTATGTGGAAAGAAGCCTTGGTTACAGCCATACCTAAAGTTGATGGAGCGCTTTTTCTCACCAATTTTTGCCCCATCAGTTTACTGCCTACCCCTGTCAAAATCATGGAAATAATTATACGAGGTAAATTAATTAATTGGTTCAATAACTCGGGTCTAATCCCCGATGAACAGCATGGATTTTTTGAACGGTGCTTCTACCACCACGAATTTGGATGACAGTGTGTTCGATTGGAGCTTGGCGATCAATGAGGGCAAATCTGTTGACATTATTTACGTTGACTTACTAAGGCATTTGATAAGGTTTGCCATCCTAACTTACTGAGTAAATTAAGCAAAATCGGAATCGGAGGTAATCTGCTTTCCTAATTTACATCTTATCTGTATGATCGACATATGACTGTTAGAGTTGGACATCATTACTCCAAAAAGTACTGCTGCACTAGTGATGTCCCTCAGGGGGGTGTTTTAGCCCCTTTGCTCTTCCTGATTTATACCCTCGATCTACCATCTGTTTTGAAAACCTCTCCTAGCATACAAGTAAAAATGTATGCTGATGATATAAAAATTTATGGAGCAATGCTGAAGAGAAAGCCCCAGAAGCTCAGCTTGCACTGCAAACTTCTCTTGATAAATTGATCAAGTGGTGTGATAGCTGGGATCTAGCGTTGAACCTTGACAAATGCTCAACGCTTTATCTTGGAAATGCTTCTACAATCTCCTATCACATCAAAGGCACTACATTGGAAGGATGTGATGCTGTTAGAGATCTGGGCGTCCTGATTGATACAAACCTTAGCTTCACTAAGCACGTCGATATGACAATCAAGAAAGCGTCTTCTTCGCTTTTCATGCTTTTTCGAAATACTAGTACCAACTCCCAAGGATACTGATATCGCTCTATAAAGCGTTTGTTCTCCCTCACCTGGAATACTGTTTTCAGATCTGGTCTCCCTTCCGCAAAAAAGATATGCGTAGAGTAGAAAAGGTTCAACAACTTTTTACGAGGTTGTTGTACAGACGTGTATCACCCAGAGTGGCCCCACCTGAATACCACGACCGTCTTAAGAAGCTTCATATGGAGTCTTTAACACATCGGCGGGTATTTTCGGACCTTGTATTCTGCTTTCGAGTTCTAAGGAGAGAGAACAAACTAAAAGCTAGCAAGTACTGGATTTTTGTTCCCACCAGTGAAAGGTCTGGTTCTTTTAACCTGCAATATCTAAGAATCCGACGCAAAAAATACCTACTGATGTTCAATAATGTGTTTTGTAGGGGAGCTAGGTGGCTTTCGCGTCTCCCTATTGATACCACTAGTGCAGA